AGCAGGAAAGCAGCTGTACCTTGTAATTATATGGACTGTTGCTTTTTATTGTCATTTAAATGTCTACCTTAATGTAGTGGAGGAGTTCGTGCTCCCCACTGATACTGGGAGTTTGTTGTGTAAACTGCCCCTGATAGGGTCTCCCAAGGCAAACTGGTCCCTGAGGAGGGGCTGGACAAAGAGCAATTCCAAAACCCCTGACATGTTGGGACCATGTTACCTCACCCAGATAAGGGACACTGGAGCCAGACCTGGGAGGAGAGCTCATCAGCGAGCATCTGGTGGCCATGCCTTGACCCATATGGCCTGGTCAGGCAAAAGACATTCTGTGGAACCGCCACCCCGTGAGCCCACCACCTGCAGGGATAGGAATTGGGGCTGGGACAGATGACAGGTGAGGTCAGAGCCTGGGTGTGCTGATTCCCACCATTATGGACTGACTCTAGGGACATGGCACGTTGCCTTCTGGCGGGGAAGGATCCTGAGTTGGTGTGGGGGATAGAAAGGTTTGGTACCTTTAGATATGGCTGGACTCAGGTCTACGTACAGCACCAGATCTGGAACCAAAGACTAACCATCACGTTTGTGGTCATATCTGGGCAGCCCTAGTGGACCTGCTGCCTCTGCAGCCCGACTTCAGATAAGCAGAAGAAAATTGATGAATAGATGGATTTAAAGATTTAATTAACAAAGTCATAATATGAAGAATGTATTTACTCAATGTTTTTACTGTTAAAAGACACGTTAAGAGGCAATGATGACTCGCTGAAAGTTATAAATAAAGATAATGATAAAAGAACTTGGGGGCAGTGGTGGCCTCAAGATAGAGAAGTGAGCATGTGACCCTTGACCCCAGCTGCTCCAATGGAGCTGCTCAGTGGCAGCAGGTCAGACTGTGGTTGTACTGGGCAGCTTCCAGGTGTGAATGTGATTTACCAGAGATGGAAAAGAGTTCTCAGTTATAAATCTATCATCTCTAGTTATACCAGAGAGAGTCTGGTCTGTGGTCCATCTGTACCTGAGACAGTCCAGTCTCCAGTGTGGACCCTCCAGTCCAGCTGACAGCAGCTTCCTTCCTGAGTCTCCTGGATGGTTGTAGCTCAGGTCCAGCTGTCTCAGATGGGAGGGGTTGGAGCTCAGAGCTGAGGCCAGAGAAGCACAGCCTTCCTCTGTGACCAGACAGCCTGACAGGCTGGAATTAGGAAAATTTAATGAATGCAAGAAGAAAAATCCCACAGATGTTGAATATCATCTACTGTACTGTACATGTTGAACAATCACTAACATGAACCTAAAGCAGCGTACACAATATTTAAATATCAACTGTTTAATATCTACACTTATCCTGACCTAAGACTTTCCAGTCTACAGTCTGGACTCCTCAGTCCAGCAGACAACAGCTTCACTCCCGAGTCCTGCAGGTCGTTGTTACTCAGGTCCAGGTGTCTCAGACTAGAGGACTGGGAGCTGAGAATTGAGGACAGAGCTTCACAGCTTCTCTCTGACAGGTTACAGCCGCTCAGCCTGGAGAGAAACCAGCAAAACCATAGAAACCAGTTACAAACACCAGTTTTCTTGTCTTGACTAAAGACAAAGACCAACTTAACCTGGACTGGTCTATGTGCACGTACA